TTGGCAATTTCGACAATTTCTGAACCATCTGCCGCCTAAAATATTCACCTAATCATCACACAAGTAGGCACACACATAACCGGGGTACACTGGATGTTACAGGTTGAAACCGGTCAAGGTCACTTGAAGGTCAAGGTAACCAAGGTCAAATATGTGTTTTTGGTCATAACTCTGCAACGGATCGAGCTCCAGCAACGAGAGTGTCTCAAAATCTCAGAAAAATGTTTATCTATTTATAATTTTATGCATTTGTATAGTCAAATATTAATCATTACATTGTGGATATAATGATCATGTGATATGGGCCGGACTCCTTATAAACTGTTTCTGTGCTGATGAACTGACCCACCGACACCTCATGGACCAGGTTGATGTCTCTGATTGTGTTTATTTGTACAGGGAATGTGCACAACATTAACCAAGACAGAAATCGAGGGAAAGATGCTGGAGCAGATTGTAGCATGAATGATCATTTACACCTGTGTCCCTGAAGTGCAATACGAAAACACAGATTCAGTGTGTACAAATACACTGACCAAAACTAAATTCAAACAGATATTACTTAGGGTCACAGTGTTGAATATTATTCTAAAACCAACATAAACCGGACATGCAACCACATGCAGCCCAACACACACACACACACACACACATTCTCCATTCTCCTAATCCGTAATGTGCACAAACTTTTTTCTTTTTCTTTTCACTTCTTTGTCAGATGTGCAAACATTTAAAAACCTGTGCAGGTTTGAATCTCTGTTGGCAAATAATTCCAATGACTCACAGCAACAGAGGAAATAGAGGATATGGTGAGTGTGGTGTTATATTTGGGGACAGTGCACTCTTCTCTGGAAGATGAGCGTTGTACTCAGGATGTTTTTCCTTCAGAGGAGAAGCGGCACCATGAAGAATTTTGAAAAACAAATATTTGCATATACCATTAGATTTTCAAAAAATAATAAATTGTATATTAAATTTAATAAATTATCAGTCGTATTTTGATCGAGTTATCCATTTGAAGCTTGAACACTCAGGAAATCTCTGTTTTCCCTTACCCCCTATCCCCTCCCCTGCACTGATCTGGACTTACTTGCAGTTCTTTGAAAATATCAAATTTCTGCTCTCACAGGTAAGGGTTGAAAACAATTTAACCTTATCAATTACCAAGCCAGTGTTGTACTTGAAATTTAAAGTCACATTATGGAACTTTACAAGATTTATTCATCCACAAGGGGCGTTTCCTTCTGTCTCACTAACTCAAAAAGTGACTGTAAAAACTCATTAGAGAATACAGATCTCATCAAAGGCATTGGCCCTGTCTCGCAATGTTAAAGAAGACATTCATTCACCAATCATGATATTTTTCTCATTACAATATTTTACAGATATTTGTCAGACTCATAGCATTACCAAGCAACAATCATAGTGTCAAATTTAGCCATGCTGCTACTATCTCTCTTTAAAATGCTGCACTACCAACTGTTGCCACCAGAGGGCACCAGGGAAAAAAAAACTCACTACATTGAAATTTCTGTTTGTCAGTTTTGAACAAAAAGTTACTAGACCTGCTTCTGAAACTAAGTTGTTTTAGAAAATCTGGAAAAAAGCATATGTCTTTTATACTGTTCAGATCATTGAGGTAAGAGACAGAAAGTACAAAAAGTGATTTATTTAATAGTAAAACACAAATGTTGATCGTCATGGCACAGGGTTTTTTTCTCTTTCACACAAAGCAGGAAATAACAGTATAAAAAAAAACTACATTCACTGACACGTTGCTCTTACTGAACTTCAACTTTCTACCTATTTTCATCTAAAAATATTCTAAAAATATCCAAAAAATCTGCTGGATAATGTTGGCACAAAAGGGGAAATAAATAAATGGTTTAAAGGGGCATTGTGTAACTTTTCCGTCAAATGCTTTTTCTCCATGGAGATGTTATTGCTTTTCAATGTTTCACAGTATGGCATTAAACCTTTCTATCTTCATGGAGACCAAACCAGACCAAGTTACAGGTCAGATCTGTGGAGAGGCGACCCCACTCACGTCAGTATGTCTGTTTTTATAGGTATTGTTGAGCTCTAAAAAAAAAACTAAAAAAAACTTATTGAATGTTGGTAAGATAGAGCCGTTTAATGTCATACTGTGGAACATTCCAGGCAGAGCGAGGAGAGAGAGTGACATATCCATAAAAACAAGCAGGTGATGGACCTCTACCCAAAAAGTTACATCATACACCTTTAAATTTACAGAGTTGACAGGATCTTTACTTGGGAGGCTGGGACAGATGTAGTATTCAAAAAATTCAAATACAATGGAAAAACATAATAATATAAAACATTTTAAAGCAAAAGTAGCTTCTGTGTTTAGGTTCGCAATAGGAAAAATGGTGGCAGTTTACACAGGAGATGGTTAAATCATGTAAAAAAAATAATAAAAAAATCACCCAAATAAATAAATATTTACATCAAAAGTGCATTTTAAAACAAAAACATAATTGGGACAGAATTGGTTTTAAAGGTGCATTGTGTAACTTGTGCTGGTCACTTCCATGGGATGTTATTATTTGCCTGGAATGCTCCACAGTGTGGCATTAAGCTTATCTCCATGGAGACAAACAAAATGTGTTGTCAGTTAACAAAATTCCAGGTCAAATCTGAGAGGTTTTTCCAAAACATTTTGGAAAACTAAAATCACCTCTAACTGAATAGGGTTAGGGTTTAATGCCATACTGTGGAACATTCCAAATCAAAAATATGCTATTTCTATGAAGGCAAGCAGGTACCTCCACCTGAAAGTTACACCATGCACCTTTAACACACGAGCTGTGAATACTGACCAGAGCCGCACAAAGGAAAGATCCTGGAAACTACAAAACCACAAACTTCCAATTCTCAAAACTGTTTAACGCCTGGTGTGGGTGTGGGTTTGGGTGTGGGTTTGGGTGGGTGGGTGGGTGTGGGTGGGTGGGTGGGTGGGTGTGGGTTTGGGTGGGTTGTGGGTTTGGGTGTGGGTTTGGGTGTGGGTTTGGGTGGGTTTGGGTGTGGGTTTGGGTGTGGGTTTGGGTGTGGGTTTAGGTGTGGGTTTGGGTGTGGGTGAGGGTGTGGGTGAGGGTGTGGGTGTGGGTGTGGGTGGGGTATGGGCTTGAACTCCTGACCAGAGCGTGAATCTTCGCCACGTTGTCTCGGAAGCAGTTTCCACACTCTGCCCACAGCCCACTGCAACCACACCACAGAGACGCACCACATCTGAACCTCACCTGAACCTCACCTGAACCTCACCTGAACCTCACCTGCAGTTAGTGTACACTAGGATTTCACCCAAAAGATTGCTTGTATGAAGAAAAAAAAAATCTGCTGTTTTCTTTTTTTCTCTAACAAACATCAAATTTTGTATAAACTGAATGCACATTTAAAAATTTTGAGGTAAAGAGTCTCATGCAACCCAAAGTGCTGTAATAACATACAGCCGATTTAGACAAGTCTCCCCAAATTATCAAAATCAAATTTTATACGAACTCATCCACAACCTTTTTTTTTTACGACAAACTGTGTAGAGTCCATCCAATATCGGACTCATCTGGAGATTTATGGCCAACAGTCTATACACAAAAAAGGCCAAATATCGGTCTATTTCTAATTCAGACCGTTTTTTTCTTCTGTACCTTTGAATGTTGTGATCTAATGACTTAACTTATACATAATCTTTACTGTTTTAATCATAACTGTAGCTGACTTTAGTTTTCTCAAATGAGCCTCTCCTGTGGGGGGGGCTCTGTAGACTGTATGATGAGTGTGACATCACCCACAGCATTCAGCTCCAGACAAACAAAGCTCACTGAGGCCAGGAGATATAGAAGCGATTCTGTAAACCTGGGACCACGTTTGGAAATCCAGGCTCCCAACCAATGAGCCAATCAGGAGCGAGGATGTTAAAGGTACTGTCAGTCAAACCTGCTTCTAACGCTGGTATGGTGGAGGTTGGGTGGGTGCTCTTAGATGAGTTGGGTGAGGTCAGCTGAGTCTCTCTGGTTGGAGGTTGGGTGGGTGCTCGGTGGCTGCTCAGATCAGTCTCCATGAGTGGAGGTTGGTTGGGTGGGTGTTTGGTGAGGTCAGATTAGTCTCTGTGGGTGGTGGGTGGGTGCTCGGTGGGTGTTGGGTGGGCTCAGATGAGTCTCTCTTTGTGGGTGGTGGGTGGGTCCTCGGTGGGTCCTCAGATGAGTCTCTCTTCGTGGGTGGTGGGTGGGTGAGTACTCAATGGGTGCTCAGATGAGTCTCTCTGTGGGTGGTGGGTGGGTGCTCGGTGGGTCCTCAGATGAGTCTCTCTCCGTGGGTGGGGTCAGATGAGTTTCTCCATGGGTGGTGGGTGGGTGCTCTGTGACTGGTGGGTGGGGTCAGATGAGTCTCTCTCCGTGAGTGGGGGTTGGATGGAGACAGATGAGTCTCTCTGTGGGTGGTGGGTGGGTGCTCTGCGGGTGTTGGTGAGGGCAGATGAGTCTCTCCGTGGGTGGGGGTTGGGTGGGTGTTTTGGTGGGGTCAGATTAGTCTCTGTGGGTGGTGAGTGGGTGCTCAGTGGGTGTTGGGTGGGGTCAGATTTCTCTCTGTGGGTGGGTGGGTGCTTGGTGGGTGTTGGGTGGGGTCAGATTAGTCTCTGTGGGTGGTGGGTGGGTGAGTACTCAATGGGTGCTCAGATGAGTCTCTCTGTGTGTGGTGGGTAGGTGTTCGGTCGGGTCAGAACAGTCTCTCTCTGGTGGGGGTTGGGTCGGGTCAGATGAGTCTCTCCGTGGGTGGTGGGTGGGTGCTCGATGGGGGTTGGGTGGGGTCAGAACAGTCTCTCTCTGGGTGGGTGTTGGGTGGGGTCAGATGAGTCTCTCCGTGGGTGGGGGTTGGGTGATATTCCACAGCTCCACCCGTGAGCCCTCCTTCTCCTGTCTGCTGGGGCTGTAGGTGCCGTGGGTGGCCCTGCGGTTGAGCGCCGCCACCAGGCCGACGGAGGTGAGGACGAGAAGGAGCAGCAGAAGCACAGAGAGCAGACTGATGGAGAGAAGCAGGGTGGAGGACAGGCCCTGAGAGGTGAGCTGGAGGAGGAAGAGGGAGGAAGAGGAAGGGAGAGGGAGGGAGAGGAGGGGAGAGAGAGGGGAGAGAGGATCAGATAAAATTGCAGGAAACAGTGGAATTGTGGATGTCACTGTGAAACCAGACTCCTGTTGAACGAGAAGATCTTCTGTTTCAGACACACACTACAGAAACACTCAGGATCAGTCAGAGGGACGTCAGCTCAATCATTTCTGCTCTGATGTAAAGTCTGTGAGGTTTGTCGGTGCTCAGGCAGTGGACAGAGAACTGCAGCTGGATGTTGCTGACAACATTAAACTTCATAAACACAAGGAAAACTTCACAGAAGGACACTTCAGTTTTCAGTAAAGTTTGTGTTAATGTGTTAAAAAAAACACAAAATAAAATCAGCGTGCATCTTGGTAATGAAACTCCTGCACATCACATCAGGTTTGTAAAGTTGTTGTGTGCAGTTTTGTGTCATGTTTTTCTATATTTATGGAGAGTTGTTGTGTGGGAGCATGTTTGATGTAGGCTTGGGGCCGGAGCTTTATACAGAATCTTTCAGCTAAGCATAAAGAAAGTTTGAATAGAGTCCAGGAGAGATCACTAAATTGCTTAAACATGCATGGATGACATGTAAAACCTCTTCAGGCAGGTTTTTGATGAGGGACCAACATTATAACACAGTAGAAAGTTCAAAAAGTAAATTTTGCATACTCTGTCTATGACAAAATTCAGTATTTCCATGGACAGCTTCTGTTCAAATGGTAAAAAATACATCTCCTGCATTGCCATTAAAATTACCGTAAAATACCAAATAATAGCCCAGTTTCAATTAACCACTGGGTCACCTTTAAACGTCGAGTGCAGGTGTTTATTTTGATAATAATAATAACTGATTGATAATGAATAATCAGCAGTTAAAATAAACACTGAGTCTACGGCGACACCTCCAGCAGTGGTCGTGTCTGCTGCTGAGGAGGAGCTGCTCAAACTCCCATTTCCTGTTTTTTGTGCTTTATTTAACCAAGATCTAATGATTAGTGCAGCGACACACAGAGAGTCTGATGTTTACAGCGACAGGAGCAGTTTGACTTCAGGTCAGTCCTGCCCACACCAGACTGGTCATGTGACTGAATGGACAGGCTCTGTTCTCTGCTCCGATCAGCCTCAGCTTCACTGAAAAAGTGGAGGAACAGACGACGCTGCTGTGAAATCTCTATTTCGCAGTGACGTGAAAAAGAAAGATGGAGCAACACAGCAGGCAGGAAATGGAAGCAGGTTTTAGGAGTTTTGGTTTTGGTAACATTACTTCAGTTTGCAATGAGGAGGAAGCAGTGATGTCATCAGAGCTGCTGTGGTGTAAGAGGAAAGTTGTAGCAAAGGGGTGAGGGAAGGCAGGGGACGAGGCTGCAAGAACTCTGCTGACAAGGTAGGAAAAGTAGTCGCCAGGCCATTATATAACATCGATACCTCCTCTAAGGCGTGCCAGAAAAACTGTTAATTATAGTCATACTGGTTACAAGAATTTGAGATTGTAAATTTAGTTTGTGAGGAAGGAATTAATCGCCTGGTTTCAAAGAAATGCCTGGTCTGTCAAGTGTTTGAAACAAATAAACGCCCGGGGTTTTATTTGGTATTTTACAGTAGACACTTCTAATAAAACAAAATAAGAACCTTCTGATCCTGAACGCGGGCCTGTCCCTGTCTACACCAGCCTCTCCGCGCTCGCCACCATTCTGCTCAGGGAGGACGAGTGGGCGGCCATACTGCTCAAGGAGGGGACGTGCAGTTCAACGGGCGGCTCGCGGGCCCCCTGGGGGTCCAGCTGCCTGGGTCTGTAGTCTCCTTCCGTGCGCCGCTTCTCTTTCAGTTTGGCCACACCCATCGCCAACAACAACAGCAGCGCGATCGTCATGGCAACCAGACATGGTACCAACACGGCGGCCACGCGAGAACTGTACGACGCGACGCTCTTCTGTGGGGCACACAATCATGTCAACATTTATCGTAAACAGAGCTGCAGACAGTGCACTTTTCTGGGCTGGATTTCTGTGTAACTGTCAGAGTGCAGATTGGTTGACCTGGTTTATGGATCATATCTCTGTAATTACTTAGTCTAACAAAGTTCAAAATTTTCTCTGTCACTGTAAACGAACCAAGGACTTATTTTATTACCAAAGCAAAATGAGTCAACAAAAAAAAACCTACAGCCACAAAATGTATATGTAAAATATTTAAACCTACTCCTTGAAGGTACATAACTTTTCTGGTGAAGGGTACGTCAAATGCTTTTCTCCATGGAGATGTTATTGCTTTGTCTGGAATGTCTTTATGGAGACCAAACCAACCCATGTTACAGGTCAGATCTGTGAAGAGGCAAACTTACTCACAGTGAATGTTTGTTTTTCTAGGTATTTTTGAGCTATAAAACCACCTGTAATTGAATAAATGTAAGACACAACTGTTTAATGTCACACTGTGGAATATTCCAGGCAGAGCAATGACATCTCCATAGAAACAAGTAGGTGACGGACAAATAATTAACAAATAATGATAATGTCTGTGTCCAAATGTCCACCCAGCCCCTGACTCCTCACTCACTACACAGACCTGCCCAAGAGATTCAGACCGTCAGCTCACTCCATTCAGGTCACATGACTCGAATGTCTTTTCTCTCGCTGAGGTAAGGGCCAGCACTCGCACCTTTCTGCCATAACATTTTATTTAAGAGTGTTTTATTCAGAATGAGCATCTCCAGTGTCATAAACCTGCACTTTTATCTGCTTCATTCACAAGTGTTGAGTCTAGTTAAACAGCTGTCTGTGTGCTGGTGTTTTTCTGACTCTTGCAGTGCATTGTGATCTACAGTGACCCCTAGTGACCAGCGCTGGACATTACCTTTGAAGGTGCATTACAGGGAATTATGAGTGCACTACTTTTTTCACTTCCTGAACAATCAGACAGCACTGAAAATGGTGTGAGCCCCAAATAGTGTAGGGAAGAGGGGATATTGTGGACATTTGTCATTGTCATATTGCATTGTACTTTTTTTAAACACCAAGAAACATCAAGAAGAACTAAGGAGCATCAAGAAGCACCAAGAAGCACCAAGAACCACCAAGAAGCACCAAGAAGCACCAAGAAGCACCAAGAAGCACCAAGAAGCACCAAGGAGCACCAAGGAGCACCAAGAAGCACCAAGAAGCACCAAGAAGCACCAAGAAGCACCATGGAGCACCAAGAAGTACCAAGGAGCACCAAGGAGCACCAAGAAGCACCAAAAAGAACCAAGAGGCACCAAGGACCACCAAGAAGCATCTAGAAGCACCAAGAAGCACCAAGAAGAACTAAGGAACACCAAGGAGCACCGAGAAGCACCAAGAAGCACAAAAAGCAACAAAAATAACCGAGGAGCACCAAGAAGCACCATGGAGCACCAAGAAGCACCAAGGAGCACCAAGAAGAATCTAGAAGAGCTTAAATTAACCCATATCATAACTGTAAAACTTGCTGCAGAGAATATTCTTTACTGGGGTCTGATTTTTGTTCCCCAAAAGAGAAACAACTCACACACACCCCTACACACACACCCCCCTACACACACACACACACACACACACACATACACACACACACACACACACACACACAGTGTTACACTTACGTCCACAGTGGGGAGGGGTCTGATGGTCGTCATGTTCACAGAGGCTGAAACACCACAACACTGTAAACAACTCACAAATACACACGGCTAACCTGATCAAACTAGAGCCTCCACACACAGGGGACGCCAGGTCAAGATCTGTGGAGAGGCGAGCCCACTCACAGTACAGATTCATGCTTTTCTCAACCTGTCCACTGCACGAATTTTTACATGTTGAACAATAGATCTGTATGATTTTTTTTTTAAAGACTAATTTTGCAAAGTATAAGTTTGATTTGACATTTGTTTTCAGATTCACAGAAACTATTCAATTGTGATTTGGTTTTGATCGTGATGATTGTGCAGCTTCATGAAGCAAAATGAGGAAACATGTTGAAATTAGGGCTGTATAAATGGTTACAATTATCAAATTCTGCAATTGTAGAGACCACAGACTGTAAAAAGAAGTGGACATCACCCTGAAGCTTAACAAAGAATGAAGCTCACGAATTTGGAGCAGGAATTTATAAACGGACAAAATGGTGAAATAAAAACCCCAAGATCCTGTAGAGCGGGTTTATAAAAACATTTTAAGACCAAAATGAGGAGGCTCACTGCAGCACTAAACTAAATATACTGTCCTTTTATAGACACCTGCTTGTCTCCAAACAATAATAATAATCATAATTTCAATGTCTCCAACCTGCAGCTCAGGAGTTACCAGTAACTCTCCACCCCTTTCAAGCAGCTCATCAAGGGATTTCTGAATTATACGTCTGTGCTGAATAAGTCAAATTGGATTGATTAAATGCCTTTTACCATTGTACATGTGTCATTTTGATGCCTGACTTTGTGCACTAATAAATGGAGAATGGTTGATGTTTTATAGGCATCTACCTGTACCTCATCTAAGGCTCGCCGTGGCTCTTCTATTCACAGAATTTTTTTTGTGACCACTGAAACTAGTAGCTCTGCGTGGCATTTTTGTTTCGTAAAAGTAGCTCACAGGAGGAAAAAGGTTGGAGACCGCTGCTTTAGGAGGCAGGAGTATGAAAGTATAGATGTGCCAGAAGTTTTGAATTAGAATATTTCATGATGAATGAAATAACTGTGATACATTTTTAAATAAATAAATTTTAAATTTTTTTATTCAAGTTATTTCATTGATGATGAAATATTCGGTAACACTTTATAATAACTACACCTTATTTAGCCCTAAATAAAGCATGAACAAAGACTTAATTAATAATGATTCACACTTAGTATCTACTTAATTACTACCTGAATTAACACTTAACTTGCACTTAATTCACCTGTGCTGTAAATAGTTACTCATAAGTATTTCTTTCTTAATTACTAATGAACTAACCATTTTTGTGTGCATTTGTAAATGTATATTTAAGTACAAATTTGTGCATTTATTAATGATTAGTAAACCATGCGAGAATGATTTACTAGTAATGCATTATTGTTTCTCTGGAATTTGACCAACCTTAACAAATGTTTAATAAAACATAATTAGTCTTCACTTTAGAAAAACTCTCAGAAAGACTTAACTAACAGATAACAGCTGCCTGAATGATCATTGTATTGTATTATTAGTAAATCATTCTCTCATAACTTACTAATGATTAATAAATGCTCAAATGTGTACTTAAATATGCATTTGGTTAGTTCATGAGTAATTAAGAAGTATTGAGTAACTATTTACAGCACAGGTGAGTTAAATGCAAGTTAAGTGCTAATTCAGGTAGTAATGAAGTAGTTACTAAGCGTGAATCATTATTAATTAAGTCTTTGTTCATGCTTTATTAAGGCTAAATAAGGTGTAGTTATTATAAAGTGTTACCAAATATTCTAATTAACTTCAGGCACATCTGTACTTCCATATAGGAGCCTTTAAATAAATATCCTTTAATGGAAAAAACTGTGTTTTTGTTTTCACAAGGTTTGGAGATTCTTGTATCAGTTGATCAGTTCAGATTCTTCTCTCACCTGTGAATGCTCCTGGACGTCTTTACAACTGAATACTACTTTTTAAACATATATTGCAATTTTTTCCCCCAATTTCTGCATCCCTACCTGAAGACACCCAAAGTAAGTCAGTATCCTCTCCTCCTCCACCTCCTCCTCCTCCTCTTGTCTCTCGTCTGAGCTCGTCTCAACAGTCAGCAAACTTAAACTCTCCAGAAACACAATCAGAATACAGCGGCCGCTCCGTATCCAGGGGCCTGAATAACTTTACGCACCGGTCTCTTCTCTCTGTCTCTCTTTGTTGACAGGTGAAAGTGCTTACCTGTCAGAGCGGAGCAGGGAGCTGACAGGAGCAGCCAGGATAATGCTAACCCCATGCGCCCGGAGCTACGAATCTCCATCTCTGTCCCACACGAGAGGAAGTGTCTGTGGTGTAGTGACCAAACCCGCACCCCCTGTTCTATCAGCGCACACACACACACGCACACACGCACACACACACACACACACACACACACTGCCCTCATAGGATGAAGCAGATAGTGTGATGTGTGCTGCTGACAGGGCACTTTCACTGGGCTGCTCCTTTTTCACCAGACTCTGAGTTGGCTGAATAATATCCAGAGGTGCTAAAGTAGCCAAAGCATAGACTGTATATGTAAATGGACAGAGCTAACCTGCTAGCCGCCGCCAAATTCCAAACAGGAAATAAGCATGGGGGCTTTTCCGGCTACAATTCACTTTTATGTTGAAAAAACTTCCCCTTTGTCTCTGTAACCTCTGCTGTTTTTTCTGTTCCTACACAATTCCTATTTCTAATATGGAACTCCAGATTTCTGCCGGAGTCTGTGAGCTTCATTTGACTGGAGCTGAACACTGTGGGTTGTTGTAGAAGTTTTCAGCTTGTCCAAAAATGGTGGAAGTAAAAGGCTGGAGACCAACTGGACGTCTTAAACAGGAGAAGTTTATTTCCCATCAATAATATAGGCCAGGGGGACTAGGAATGTCAACATAGTGTGATTTCAAAAGACAACATAGTTTGATCTTTGAGTGTTCACGCTCCTGGACTCTGCTTCCAAAGAAGGAGCTTTATAAAACAAGTGTGGTGAGACTATGAAGACCAGTAGGCACCAGTTAGACTGAAATATGCCACAATATAGATAACGGTGCCAATGGTGTGCCAAGAGAAGATGATGGTGTCAATATAACTTCTGTGACTCAATGTTAAACTGAGAGATGTACATGGAGGATAAATTACTTCAATTCTCTTACATGGATGACATCGCACTCACTTAGTCCACTTCTTGAGTCTATGTATTCAACTAATATTCCTCCAGGAAAAGTCAAAAGTTGTGAAA